GCGCGTATTTGGAAGATTCTGGACGACGCATCACAGACTGTGACGTTCTATCTCGGAGGGCTGCGTGATACGGGCTTCGCTGTAGAAGGTCTTCATGCTCTCAATCGCATGAAAGACCGCGCGTTGGCTGATGGGAGGGATGAGCAGGACCGGCTGGAGTTCTGGAACGACTACAAAATCGTCTATGAAAGGCTGTCGGCTCTACCAGATAAAGAGAGAACCTGGCAAGGGGTGTTGCAGTTGAACCGCATACATGAAGTATTCTCATGTGGCATCAATGCTACTGATGGAGGAAGCATAGGTGTGCTTCGCTCCGCTGTCCTCCATACTTACATATAACGGGTTCATCGTGAGTACATGCATTCAGGGAAGCGGCAAATGGAGGAGCTCATGGCCACAGCGCTGCAGCAACAAGAAATGAGATTTTATGACCAGCAACAGAGCTTAGTTGCATCTCAGCGGCAACTCATTGTTGGGGATATTGTGGAGGAGATGAGGAAAATGCGCCGAGTGAGTGCATCTATCCGTGCCCTTTTCGACCCGCTTGCTTCCCAATAATTTACTGCTGTTCTCAGGATGATCGAGCCAAGCTTGCTCACCACATAGATATGCGTGTTGATGACCTTGAGAGACGTCTGGTATCGAAGCTTCAGCGTCTTCCAGCTACTGGGGTGAGTATTGCTTCTTCAGTTGATGAACGAAGGTTCAATCACAGATGTACACGGCAGAGGATACACTTGATTTCCAACATCCGACGGAAACCAAAGGGCAGCTGCCTCAAGTAAGATACATTACTACTACGTTTAAGCTCAGTTGTGGAGTACTGTGAGTATCTTCTCTGTTATTCGTATACGTTCTACAGCACTCGTTAGAGTCCCTCCTTGGTCAGTCTCGACCCGTGACGAGGGGCAGCGCGATCCTATCACGCAGTAGTCGCTCATCTTCTTCACAGGCCTCACAAAGTCTCAATGAGGTAATAGTGACACAGTCTGGGTATGCCATTCTACTCTATTCGCCTGGCGCATCATCGGGTGCCACTGACATGATCGTGGCGAATCGAAATATCTCGGGTTTTCTTGCAGTGTCAGGTTACAAGTGATCCACAATTGGGTGGTCTGCCTGCTACTGGTATCGAAGGCATCCGTGCTGAAGTCTGCCGGAACTTCAGGAGGATTGCTGCACATGAGCTCTCAGTGGGCATCCGAGATATTGTCCATGTTTTGTCCCCCGAGGTCGACACGCAAGGATGGGTTCGTGTCCGTTTGCAGGGTGATAGAGGTGGTACTGGCTTTGTGCCGGCCAGTGTTCTGAAGGTTGTCGAATGAAGATGTTTCTAATTCGCTGTTTCCTCTAGCCTTAAATGCTGTGTTAAAGTAGTGATGATTGTTGCCAACAATTTGTTGGGCACAATTCACCAGTTAACCTGTCTGAATTCGAGCCAGACTAATTTGACCAGTGACACAGGGATCCAATCGGTGGGCTGAGCCGTTCCGAGATGGAAGCGTACAGTTTTCAGACTCGAAAATTCGGAGGTCTATTCCACTTATGCTGAGATTGATTCCTCCGAGTGGTTGATTGCACGCAGATCCTGCGCCGTAGGGAAACGAGAAAGGAAGTCAGTCGTGCCTCAGCTTGGTCGGCAGTGTTGACTCAGCACGTCCAAATTAACCATGTAACAAACTATGCCAACTGCTGTATGGCTATGGCAAACTAATCTAACAAACGTATATTTGTACCAGTGAACGACGTTCACTGAACGTTGTCGACGATTCTCCCCCTTCCAGGTCTACTAGCAGAACCCGTCGCTTCGCTCCGGGGTTCTCTAGCTCGCTGACGGTCGGGGGTGTAAGCGATATGTTAAGATACACCAGTTCAATTATGTCCTTGTTGCACTGAATCGAGAACGTAGATCTATGCGTCCTTGGAAGTCTCAGGTTGAGATGAAAAGATCAATCTTATACGGAGTGTGCCACTTTCTCAAGCAATTCACGAGATTTTCGATTTCTCTTCCAACAAGGACAGTACCCTTTGAAATTGGAGCAATCGATACCCAGTCACATAGCGGATACCGTACCAAGAGGAATAGGTGATACTCGTAACCGTAACACAACACAGAGCCGCTCTGGAACACAATCTTATCATTAGATGTTAGTGTGGATGAGATGAGATAGTAGCTAGCAGTGCTAGCCTAGCACACGGTGACTCACATGCGACTTTATGCTATACTGAGCTCTGTCCAGTCATATGAACGCATGATACAACGGAGTCATCGAAAACTCAGCTTAATAATACACTGCATTGAAGAGATTGGAGCGAGTCGGGCGAACGATTATGGACCTAATCGGGTAGACTACCCGTACTAAGTAGCAAATTGCACACGATATCTCGTGAATAGTCGACACATCTATCCATCTCTCTCTGTCCCCTTGTGCCAGTGTTACCAGCGCTGGCCCTGTTGATCGATATCCTAAGCTCTGCTTAGCTTCTATGTGATATAGTCTAGCGTTGCCTATGGCAACTTGCCATACTACTCGATAACTATCTAATCATTTCCCTATGACTGAGACAAGTGTTACTTCAAGTGGGGGTGAGGGAGGCAAGACGAACAAAGACCAGCAGCAAAATCGAACTCCGGATACGAATTCATAAACCAGATGGGTCTCCATGAATTGCAGATCGAGATGGCGAATCGTTCCCTCATGCAGGCTCTACTGTATATCCATGTTGAGTTTAGTCTTTAAACTTATCTGACTTAGAGTCTCCAAGTTAGAGGACCCGACGCTTCGCTCCAGGAGTCTCAAGCTCGCTTTTGCACAGTAGAAGCAGACAGTTAGTGCACCCTACGCCTACTTCGCAAGAAACGCTCCTTA